AGGGCACGCTGCCGTCTATTAGTGGAATCAACCCTTTCAGTTGACAAAGACAACAACCAAATCTTTAGATGGTTTATTTGATCTGCGTGAAAGGGTGGCAGTGGGACTTCTGGCACTCGAATCAGCGGAAACAATATTTTTGGCTAGAGAGACTTCTCCTGAGTTCTCTCAGGGAGCCTTCGAGAAGGCCATCTGGACCAAGCAGTATTTCTTTTGTAAAGCCTCGCATTTGGAAACATAGGCGAAAGGTGTGCGAGCTGTAATCAAATGCCCATGAAAAGAATTGGTTTATGATATTGGGAGGGGGGATTTATTACTGTTTGTAATTTTCTAGATGAAGAGACTTACATGAGAAAAAGACTTTTACTTTCTGTTTTCTTTCTTTATTAAGAGATGAGTTCCTAATTTATATTCCAGTATAGGATGTGCTTATTAATGTTAACTCATTAATCTGCACTATTGTTCTCTCATGATCGAAGTTAGAAGGCTTCCATTATGTGACATTTACAGTTGTTACATCAGGTAGTGACCTTGTTTTTGACCTTTGTAATTGTTAATTGAACGTAGATTTTTAAAGATGAACACTTCCCCTTTTCTGGTCTGTAGCTTGTTTATGAAGCTATAATGAATGAAAGATGTTGAAGAGTTAAGCAAAATATTTCCAAACCCAAATAAAGCACTTACAGCAACAACATGAATAAAAAACTCCTTGAAAAACTGAAAATAAAGCAAAGCCACATTTGTAGCCAGATACAGCACAAGTATGAATAGTCTAGCAAAGTAACCTTTAAAAATCTATCTATCGGGGCTGAGGATATAGCTCAGTTGGTAGAGTACTTATCTCGCAAGCACAGGGCCCTGGGTTCAATCCCCAGCACCAAAAAAAAAAAAAAAAAAAATCTATCTGTGTGTGTGTGTACATCTATGTCCATATATACTTTCTTTTTTTTTTTTTTGGCTATTCATTCATACTTTTCTCTTAGAGTCTCCATTTTAAAAAGAAATGTGAATTCTTATATTAAGATTTCCTGTAACAGGAGATCATTTTTCAAAAGTAACTGACAGTTTCCATTAACTGTCATTTTTGCCTAATAAGTTAGGAATAAGGAAAGAATAAATCTTAATATAGAAATAAAAAAAAACATAGTATCAAACATACTTGAATATATAGATATTGTATTAATATTTGTATTTTTCTATATAAATTCTACTTTTTATTTATCAATATTAACTAATGATTTCCTTGAGAAGTTTTCATTTTCATTGTCCAATTTTCATATTATATAAAATTCCTAGTTGATAAAAAAGAACTGCTATAATCCTATTTCTTTAGTAAGTGAATACTAAATTCAGTTCTGAAGGGAGAATTTTCAAATATTGTTGAAATTACCATTATTATGGAAAAATAACATAAGAAATGGAATCAATTTTTTAAGAAAATCCTTTATAAACTTAAAGCAAATCACATATATGTTTATTGTGGCTAAATTATTTTACCAAATAGTTTGAAGCTAAAATAATTATGACATATAGATTTTATCTCAAAATGCATTTTTTTTTTCTGGAAAAAGAATTAGTTTGATTAATATATTTTTTAAAAAAATTTTTTTAGTTGTAGGAGGACACATACTTTTATCTTATTTATTTTTATGTGGTGCTGAGGATGGAACCCAGTGCCTCACACATGTGAGGTGCACTCTGCCACTGAGCCCCATAGTTTGACTAATATTGTAGAGGAATATCTTACAACTGATGTCAGTTAAATTAAAAATCTTAATTTCTGGAAATTAAGATGGGAGCTAGACTATGTAGAATGTTCAAACTTTTTCTGAACCATTTTAGTAAGAGAAGATAGCCTGGAGTCCCCAGTATCAATCTGTTACCCCCATTCTTACTCACAGGGAGCCTTGTGCCAAGCAAAACTCTTTAACCCAAAAAGTATTTTTGAGTTTCTAAACAACACAGTTCCAAGTATCTGTATCTGACAGACAGTACTAGATTAAATGATCTGATTATCATTACTTTTCGAACATAAAATGTTTTTCAAATGACATTACATTGAACTTCTTATTAAAATAAAATTCTATGATATAAAAGATTTATCTGCTTGCCCCTAAGTATTCCTATGAAATTTCGAAAGGTTAGAAAGAAAAAGCAGGACTTTTGTTTTTGACAAATAACAATGATAATGATTATTATTTTTACTGCAGAAAACACAAGTGACCCAGCATTAGCTGTGAGTTCCAGCTATGCCTTGGAGTATTTAGAAATATAATGTAAGATGGGAGCAGGAAGAAGTGGGCTACAGTGAAAATTACACTTTTGCCTTCTTGGGTCCTTTCTACTTAAAAACACTACTTGAATGAGATTTTCACTAGAGAGGAAAAGGTCTCTTAGGAGTTTGAGTGTCTCACTGGGACAAGGGCCATCAGTTTCCCATCTTTGAGAGTCATCTGTGCTTTGGACATAGTATCCAAGGGTTCACGTTGCCATCAGCGACTCACATTTGAAATAAAACAGATTAGATATTTGTTGGAGGCGATATCTCCACAACTGAGCGACCTATTTATGTGAAATCTTTGCAAACAGAACCCACACTATTTAAACCCCAAGAACCTCTCAAGACCCAGAGTCACCTACCTGCAGTCCCAATTTTTTTGACCAGCAAGTTTACAGGCAAAGTGAAAGAAACATGCTAACTGGATAAAATAGCCATGTGTCCCTACTGGAAGCCCCATTACACCAGTCATTGAAACCTTGCTGGACAAAGCACCAGGAGAATTTGCTGTAAGAAACAAGCCTCAGCGAATGGGGCAGGGAAGAAATGACCTAATGGTTGGTCTGTCCTCTCCAATTTCTGCAGTACTGTGTTAAGAAAAGCCGTCCTGCCGCACTGTTGTGAAAGCCCATGCCCCAACAGAGACATCTCTTATTTAAAAAACAAAACAGCTCAGAATTTATATTTAAGTTGCCATCATCAAAAGGCATGACAACTGGGGGACAATTTCCCCTGGCAGCATTTTCAATATACAATGGGAAAGGGTGATTTTCTTCACTGAAGAACTTAAATGCCAAGAAAAGAATGGTTCTGATTTGACCTTTGTTTGCTGGCTGGTGAAATTTAGGGTGGCCCCTTCCACACCCCAATTGCTCACAAGGCCAAGTGGACTCCAACATGAAACCTAGTTCGGATGGTTCAATGAGGCAATGTCAGCCCACGCTGCCAGTCTGCTGCCTGCCTCCAAGCAGCACACGCGGTGCTGCCTCAGTTTACTACTTCAGGAGGAAGTGTTTATCCCTGCACACTGTAGCTGGCATAAGGTCCAGAGCAGAGGAGAGGATGTGTTTGTGTGTGTGTGTGTGTAGGCAGGTATGTGAGAGAGGAAATGGATGGAGTTGTTTGCATATATGAATGAAAGAGTCCATAGCTCTTCTCTCTAGGTAAATATCTATGTTTATTTGTGAAGGATCTTGCTTTGGGCTAAGATATAGAAATGGACATAAAATACAATGTCAATTTTAAAATATTTTTCTGTGAAATGCATTGTCTTTTTGCTGGTTACTGTCAATGTGAAATGAAAGGATACCATTTATCATGAAATTGATGTATGTCCAAATTGACTGTATTCAATGTAACATATTCTGACTTCTGCCTTTGGATTTTTTTTTTTAATTTTATTTTTTTGTGGTGCTGAGGCTTGAACCCAGAGCCTTGCACATACTAGGTAGGCAAGCACTCTATCACTAAGGTACATCCTCAGCCCTGCCTTTGGATATTAGTGTGAGTTTGTGCAAAGATGAACCTGTGTGTGTGGTGGGGGGTGTGTGTGTGTGTGTGTGTGTGTGTGTGTGTATAAGTGTGAGCACACATGCATGGTCAAGGGTGAAGTCAGACATTCACAGGGAATGACCTATTTAATATTGTTACCCACTTTGCAAGTCCTGGGATTTTCAGGTGTTCCTTTTACCAGTGAAAGTGCAAGGGAGACTTCTCACGTGAATGTCACAGGTTCAACACCAAAAGCCTGTTTTTTCTTCTTTATTTATTTTGCAAGAGCAAATGTTTAACATTTTGAACTTTAATAATTTTTTAATATTCTTTCTCTCCTAAGTAATTTTTCATCAAAGACACTAAAACTTCATTCCTTATGGAAGTCAGAAGGCTGAGTTTTAGAGATTACCTCTAGGGATAGATTTATAAATGCAAGTTTCCTTCCTAGCCTCTTAAAAAGAGGCAAACAGTATTATTGCAAATAACCTTTAAGATAATTAACTGACAATGCTGCAACTAGCATAAAATCTTCCTTCAGGCGACACCTAATTTAAGTGTTACTGGCACAAAGTGGAGACAGATTGTGCATCACCATTGCAATATTTACATAGCAGAAACCCACAGAGCAGGAAACGCGAGACTCAATGATGCACTAAATTAGGAACAACCGTACTCCAGTGTTAATTTGCTTTCTATTCTATCCAAATCTCAGGTCCAGAAATTGGTACAAACACATATACAACCTCCCACTCTTAAATGACTGAAGCGGGGGAGATTTTTGTACTTTTTTTCCCCCCCAAATTAAAATAACTTGAAATTTATTTCTTTTCTCCACAAGAACCATTTGGTCAAACTGTGTTTATTTCATTACAACTTGCTCTCACTTTGATCTAAAATTATTTCATATGAATGCTACATTGAAATCAACAGAGGAAAAACTAAACAGACTTCTATTTTCTCTAAGGCTGCCAATATATTTTATGAAAAGAATAAAAGGAGAGACCTGAGAGCCAGTTGGTAAGATATTTAGGGACGAGGAAGGGCAAATCTACCTTTAGCAACCTTCTCACTGCTGAATCCTGTTCTGTTCCAGCCTTCACCACCATCCCCAATACAATGTGTTTCCTTAAAACCATTCAAACAATACTTCTTTCTTTCTTTTTTTCTCATTCTTCCCCATAGTATTTTTCAACACCAATTTCACCCAAGGCATTAAAAAAACATTTACCTTTCCTAACTGCTGATGTGCTTTAAAGGCAGCGATCAGTTCTTCAGCCCACTGGATTTTTTCTGGGGAAGGGGTAAACTGCTCCTGGACCACGGCAATTTGGTTAGGGTGGATCACCTGCTTACCTACGAGGAAATGAATAACATCGGAAGCTCAACAGACAAATGTTCCAACAAAATGTTTCCACCACAAGAGGTTCCTGAATGCTTCACACACTGGATGCTAAATAACTAATTTAGAACTTTTACTGAAGGAAAAAAAAAAAAAAAAAAAAAAAACAAACAAACCTGCAATCAGGCAGGCTTTTCCAGAATCCCACATAAGAACAAACACAACAATGGAAGTAATTGTGCTTCGGGTCCTATAGAAATGCCACCTCGGTGCAGATAATCTCTCATTTTTAGTTACAGGTGGACTGAGGCAGCTCGTGAATAACTGCTTTGCCTGGCACTTTAAAAGATAATGTCTCCAAATTAGAGTCCTAATTTTGAATTAAAGTAGAATGAAATTACATAGAAATTCCCTCGAATTTTAGAAATTATCTTTTACTTATTTTGTAGGATTATGCCACTTCCATGATTTCTTGTAGAAGTGGTATGTGGGTTTTCATAAAGCTTACAGAGCAGAGATTACAACTATATTACTATCTAATACTGTCTTACATTGACATGTTTAATTTTCTTTCTCTAGGATGAACATGTGTCATTTCTAACCCCTAGTAGAAAATTGGATTTCAATGAAAATAGTATATTCAGTACAGCAAAATAGAAGGCGGCTTTGAGCACTGTAGACTCTAGACTATTCTATTTAAATCTTTTAGAAAAGAAAAATTTCAGAAAACTTCTCTATCCAAAAAAAAAAAAATCCATATTTTCCCCTTTTTGCTTATGGAATGGAGATTGGCTACTTTCCCCTTAAAGCACCTTTCATACCCCCAAAAGAAACCCTACCTCTGTAGAAATGTCTTCAAAGGTACTTAGAACTCTTTTTGAAATTTAAGGATTTTAATAAAAACATAAATACAATTATAAGAGTCAAAGGATTCTATGAAATAGTGTTGTCATTAAAAAATAATTTAAAAATCAGGAAGTGTGGAGTCTAATCAGATCATTAATAAAATGCAATTTAATGTTATATAATGATGAGATCATATTATATTACATGATAGAGTTATAGACACAATATGCCTCCTTAAAAGTGAATGTACACTTAATGGTCATTTACTCTGTTTACTCTGCTCAATCTATTTGTTGGCATAGTAATTTGCTTTGCTTTTGAAACAGTTGTTTTATTAATGTTTTGCCAGTACAGATTATATCCTGGATGTTTTATAAAATGCCGAATTTCTGTTACTGCTGTCATTTGTTGAACAGAAAAAGGAACAATGTAAAAATACATATTTTTTGTGTTTCATGAAAAGAGGTTTAAGTGGACAGATAAAACAATAGCTTTTCTTTATCACAGCATAATTAAAACAGCCTCACCTTGCTATTTCATTCTTATCTGTTTTATACTATAAAACATTAAACACATGTAAATAAAGATGCTTTAAATTATTTGAACAATAATTTCTGGAAATATAACATGAATGATAAATGAAATATCTTTTCAATAGTAGGTGTTGAAATTATATTTAAGTAATCTAATCGCTGTTGCAATATTATTAATAAAAGATGTCAGTTCTGTGGTTATTTCCTACTAATTGTTAGCCCTGAATTTCATAATTTATAGACATAATTTACATTGATGTATAAAAAGCTAGATTTCATGGGACCTTCTGAGTCAGGCACTATGATTTGAGAAGCAAGCATAAACTACTTAAAATATTGTGAAATTACTGATGGCACTCAAGTACCTGTATTTTGATAATGAGGATAATTTTAAGATGCACGTGAGATTTTAGAAATCCATGTACATTCACATGTGAAGTTCTCTGTTGCATGGTACATATTCCAACAACTGTCTAACAGGCTTTAATGTGAGAACAAGGCAAATATTTTATCCAGAAGAGTTGTTATTGGCAAGTTACTGAGAGGGTACAAAATTGGACGACATTAAAATTTATGACCATGAAATCCTTTTTACAGTACCACTTGATATATCTTGCTTTAAATCAATACCTGTCAAGTCTTTTAGGTAACTGTACGATAGTGTCATTTTTGTCTTCTACAAAAAAGAGGAAAACCTATAGTGCTTCATATTTATAATCTTTCTTCTCAGCATGTAGTACTGGAGTAACTGCAGTGACCAAGTCAGTTAGTAAAGCTTTATTCTAATATTTTTATTTGGGTGTCTTTTTATTTAAAAAACCCTAATGTTAACAGCTATTTATACAACCAATGTATTAATTTAAAATCTATCAACATAGATTGTGACCCCATGAAACAACACCACAGAAAACAAACTATAGCCCACTATTTAGTATATGACTAACTTTAAAAAATGACTTCATTAACATATGGGTGTGCAGGTACCTGTGTACGTGTTGTACATATTCACGGACATAATTCTTACAGCCCAGACTCAGTCTTCCTTCTCAGTGTTATGTATAACAGTGTTTCCATATGACTTTAAGCCTTTCGTCCACCTGCTTCAGATGGGTATTTCAGAAGGTGGGCACAGCACTTCCTCTTTCTCCCTCCCTGCCTCTCCTCCCTTCTTGGGCAAGGCCCAAGGTGTGGCAATTAAATGCCAAACAATTCGTGCTAACAGATCATGGGATCTTGAGAAGTCTAAAGTACTTAGCGGAAGCTTTTTTTTTTTTTTTTAAGTTACTTCAAATCATCTCATGCTTTTAATTACCATTTATTAGTATGTAGAAATATAATCAGGACAACAAAGACCTTCTCTCTCTGAAAATTGCAAAATGGCCATGGCGTGTGCCCCCCCGCCCCCAGTCTGCTGCCTCGGTCATTGGAATAGCGGTGGGCACTGTGCCCTTGGTTCCTCCCTGATCTCCCGCCTCCGTTTCTCCGTCTCGCTGTGATTTACTACTTCCCGTCGTGGAGAAACAACAGTGCCAGGTTCATAAGTTCCTCGTGCTGAGTTGGGCACCGTCTAGAAATTTAAGCCTGATTTGAAGTGGTCTGTCTTCTGCAACTGAATTGGGAACCAATTTAATTTAGCCCTGCATCCTCAAGGACCTCTGGAGCTCCCTTAGGAGCTCTGGGGCAAACATGACCCCAGAGGAAGCTAAGGAAACCCAGGTTGCAAGGAGGGCTGCTGACAGAGACCAGGGCTCTCTCTCTTTTCAATGAATTAGTTCCCATTTCAGAGCCACATCTGGCTGCCTGGCAGCCGATGCCACACATCCACGGCCAACAACATTGGGTCTATTAGATAGATTGCATGGAGCTTTTCTCCAACTTCTGCATTTGGGCTATATCCTAACCAGTCATTGAAAAGAGGCAGGAACGAGCACAGCCCCATGGACATGGCAGAGGGACGCCCCTCTTTCTCAATCACTAGGAAATGTAGAGAAGATTCATGAATAATAGCTCACATAATTGAAAAACGTTTCTCTATAAGGGATCATATTTTTTAATTAAAAAACTGGGGGCTCATGTTTATTTTAGTTCTTTATGGTAAAAACACAAAAGGTCAGAACTTATTTAATTCTAACGTAACTATACTATTGCTTTGTAAGTCTTTCAATTTTACTTCAGGTTAAATCATCATCTATTAAAACATCTTTTACATTTAAGGGTACTTTCAGAGGCGTTTCAGTAACCCCTAACATAAGAGATATAATTCTAAAATGCTTGTCTCTTTTCCTTATTATTCAGGTACGTTTCTAGTATTAACATTCGTAGAACTTGCAGTATGAGAACAAATAAGAATAAAATCATGTTTTCCCCTTGGTTGCTTGTGTGTGTGTGTGTGTGTGTGTGCACATATGTGTATGTGTTTGCATGTGCATGTGTCCACTGCACACATGTGTTTATGCATAGGATTCTATTGTGATTTTTCAAAAAATTGATTTCTGTTGCAAAAACATAATTTTGGGCTGATCCCCAAGTTCATGGGTATTTTAGTGATTTGGTACACCAATTGTCAATGTCCACCTATACCCCAAGGTAGCCTTAAGGAATTCACTGATCTTAGTGCCAGCTGACACCCACAGGTGTCACCAAGTACACAGACACTTATTGGGATGTAGAAGGGGACGGAGGGGCTTGAAGTGGCAGAAGAGCAAAAAGCAAGTATTAAGTAAAAATCAAATCACAGAAAATGCAGACATGGTGGCACAGGCCTGTAAGCGCTACAACTTGGGAGGCTGAGATAGGAGGATTGCAAGTTCAAGGCTAGCCTCAGCAACTTAGTGAGGCCCTAAGCAACTTAGCAAGACTTTGTCTCAAAATAAAAAATAAAAAGGGCCAGGGATGTAGCTCAGTGGTTAAGCATCCCTGGGTTCAATCCCTGGTACCAAAACCAAAACAAAAAAAAAAAAACCCATGGATGTATGATATGTCAAGATCATTGTACTGTCATGTATAACTAATTAAAACAAAAAACAAACAAACAAACAACCCACAGAGAATATCATCAATTTTTTCAGAATTAATTCAATATTGTGACCATTTTAGAAAAAATTTCTTCGTCAACTCAAATTCTTACAGCAGTTTACTCAAAAACACTCTGTCACTCTGCCCTTCTGTCAGAGCAAACTATATAAAATATTTAAAGAGGTCAGGAAAAAAAATGGTAACAAATATAAGAGGAAAGAAGAATGAGTGGTTTGATTTTTGGTTTGCAGAGCCAAAGAAAAGCATGACAATTTCTCAGGGGGTTGGCACTCTGCTCGGCTTTTCCATGCCCCAAACAGTGGAATGCGCATGTGAGACGTACGATGACTCGAGAAATGTGATTCCTGGTTACATTCCTGTTTTTCTGGAAGGCTTGCTGATCTAGACACTGCTTTCTAAGATACCATCAGGGATCATACCAGTGAAGCCCATGGCGGCTGCTTCTCTTGACTGTCTGAGAAGCCCGTCTGCATCCCGAAAATCAATGTACACCAGGTCTATGGCTTGTAGGCCAAAGGCCTTGGCTATGACAACAATCTTTTGTCGGGCGTAGAGAATGTCCTGGGTTTCTTTACTACTTGTTGCACCTGAAAGCCGTAAGAGGACAGAAAAGGGAGGTCATAACTTTGGAAACCAAACTCAGACATCTATTATAAAAACTCAGTTTGTAAAGACATCTATGTCTCCCTGGGAATGTTCCCAGCAAAATGATTATTCAAATATGAACCAAGAGAGAGCTACAGGGAGGCAGCACCAAGCCTCCATGTGTCTGTTCACTAGCAAGCTTCCTTCAACACAATCACTCTGCCAAGCACCAAGACGAGCCACTCCCCGCCAGGAGGTGGAATCGGGGCCACAGTGACTCCTGATAGATTTTCTCTTTCTGGTCATGATTCTGAAAGTGTCAGTCCAAAGATAAGGCCACAAAAAGTGGCCAGGAGGCTGGGCATGGACACTTACTTCTCACATTGGGCACAGGATGGGCTGTGTTGGGGTTGGCCCAACCGTGCAGGGGCTGCGATGCCCAGGCCCAGCTGAGAGACTGAGCCAAGTACCTTAGCTGCAGAGTCTGGATGGAGCACTGGGGAAAGGCAAGGGCACGTACCTGGGGGCAGGCAGAAAGTGTCACTTAGCCCTCTGTAGTCCACTGACCTGTGGGCCACACAGGAGTCTCCTGGAAAGACTGGTATTAAAATAAATTCCTGTTTTCACCTAGAAGGGTGGTGGGAGTGTCACTATTTATACTTGGACCACCACACTCACTGCTCAGGGAAAGTGTCTCCAGGCCACTGCGATGTGGTTCCAAAAGCACTTTCCGTGGCCTTGTCCCTTCCAGGCTCCAGTTAGCTACACACACACCCAGGCCAGAACAGAGTGCTCCAGGGAGAGGGGAAATCAGTGGAAACCAGTAGCATCTCAGTAGACATCGAATGAAAAGGGTTCTGAAATACACTGTAAGATAAACTAAGGCACCATGTTAAATTTATATATCACATTTAATGTAGAAAACAGCTTACTACGACCAATGTGAAAGTGCCTTAAATTTATTTTGGAAACTTCGGCAGCCCTCAGACTCATGTGAAGACCAAATATTTAAGCAATCGTGAGGTTGTAAACACATTTATTAAGAGAAAAGTAGATGCCCCCATTCTTGAATGAGCCTGGAGCTGCAACAGGCTTTTTATTAGTTATTTTAATAAATGAGCAGGAGTAGTAATGTATTGTTCTGAAGCAGGACTGCTATGGGGAACCCTAAATTATCAGGAAGTGGTGTCCATCCATTGTCATGAAAAGCCATTGTCATGGTTGGTAAATCTACATTGTTATGTAAATGCTCATTCTTGAAAGGCAAAGAAAAAATTCCATATACACACACACACTCTCCCTTACACACGCACCACACAGAGGAAGAGAGAAAGGGTTTTGCCACCTATGCTGGCTCGAAAATCTTCTCCTCCAAAAACAACTGCATCTAGAAAAAGACCCATTTGAGGTCCGATCCTGAGTGTTTCTTCACACACTGCCTGGAAAAGAGCAGAACAGAACCAGTTCTCACAGCCGCGCAGGCATAAGACAGGAGCCCGAGCACCTCAGGAAGACCCAGCTCCTAGCCCAGTCTGCCTGAAGGCAGGCTGACCCTGCAGCCAAAAGTCATTTAATGTTGCCCCAGATAAGTATCCTGCTTATCGTTACTTTGCTTAGTGGATGATATTAAATACTATTGTTATATATTAATCTGGTAATATAGTTCAAAATTTAAGTTGTCTACTTTCTAGAGAAACTTTGAGTTAGCTACTTTTGATTTTACTGCTAAGTTATTTATATTTTCCCCCAATTTGTTTTTGCTTGAAGAGACTCTTAAATAATAAACATAAAGCCACAGGAAAGAAGGAAGGAATTTTAAAATCAAACTAATTGGATTATTTGCATTAGGATCCAGTAAATGGTCTCAGGATTAAAGACAAACAATACAAAACCTACAACTTCAGAGGGGAAAATAAAAGTGCAACAAGTCAGCCACGACGTGTTAATAAAGCAGCACTGACATTTCTAAATGAAAGTCAAGATTAATAACATTTGTTGTAGACATAACTGTGAATCCCGAAAGGTGCAGATGTAACCTGCCAATATATATATAGGGGTGGGAAAGAAATGAGGAACCAGTGGGGACACTGTTGATTAATTTCAGGTGTTGCAAGGGCTCCTAAGTACATTATGAAATAAAATGGCAAAACAGTGCTTAAAATTAAATCACTGTATGAATCTGGTTGCATCTGAGGGATGTGCTTTTGATTATATTCCGAGGCTTCTGGGGCAGCTGGGAGAATTTGTGGTTATTTGTGTAAAAGAGCTGCTCAGGAAACAAGGCTTGAAACAGCCCCCAAACGTTTGCACTGGGCCCCTCCTGCATAATCCCACAGGTCTCAAAGTGAGCATTTGCTCACACATTCTCTCTCCAGTTCAGGTCAACTACCTTTTTCTTTTGTTTTTGGTAATTTCTTTCTCCTGCTCTCTGAGGGGGGAGGAAAAAAAATGGTGGGCTAGGAACTCTGAGCACGGGGTGCAGGGGGTGCTAGATTGCTACTCACAGGTCAGGTGGAATGGGAAGCATATTTTGGAAAACAATATAAATGCCCACTGATACAGAAGCTGGCTCTGAATGTGGTCAGGCAGGTAGTTTAAAGCTGAAAACCCCGGGCTCATCTAATCTCTCCAAGTGGTTATTAGAAAATATTTTATGTTCAATGCGACAAATTGAAATAACGGACTACAAATTATTTGTGTACATGAACTTAAAAACAATAGTTGTCTGATCTGCTAGACATTATGGATAATGCTGCTATAAAGAGGCCAGAAAATTTTTCGATGGAAAGCTATTGATAGAAAAAGAACAATTCAAAGTTAATTCATTAAGGTGACAAAATAGATTTTCCATTTATTTTATACCTTTATTGTAAAATTCCCATTTATTTTATATTCAATCTATAAATGTTAACAATTCAAGGTATAGTATACAGTGATTTTTTTAAATTAAAATTATTACTAGGAACATGTGCATATTTCATTGAAATATTTAGGAGTGGGAAGCTTTTCCTTTCTACTTAACCAATTTCTTTGTTTTCTAAGATGCTGAAAACCTGGTTTTTAAACTATAAAGAAAACAAATGGTGCTCAAGGTTTACCTTGCTTATAAATCTTTCTAAAAAAATGTTAGTAGATGTTGAAATTGAAAACAAAAGTTCTCTTTAGGTGACAAATAAAACACTAACTTATGTAACCACGTTATGGTTTTCTTACCTTAAAATTGAGCAAACCCATTGCAGTTTCCACAAAGGGGATTAAATTCATTGGTTGTTCAAGTTTTCGGCCTTTTAAGTGGAATGAAAATTTGTCTGAAAACTAAAATCAAAAGTGTCAGGTGATTAGTGGTAAAAAATAAAATAAAATAAAAACAGAAGTAACAATCACTGCAATGTAGACATAGAAATAGTACTTAAATCTTTGACCTGAGGGAGTAACATCCCAGCCTCCTCACCCACATAAAAGAATTTTTTTAAAAAAGGAAAGACCAAAGAAAAAAGGTAACAAAGTTCCCACCAAACTAAATAGCAAAGTCCCCCAGAGTCACGGCCTCCCCCCACCCCCACCAGGAGCAACTTGAGGCCTAGGAGTTAGAGATCCCCGGTTTAAATGCTTCCCTTGAAAACATATTTACTGGAGACCTCTCGCCCTCTGCGTTAAATGCAAATGGTAGGCCCTTAAAACAATGTGCCCTGCTCTACCTGCGCGTCTGTTTTTGTTTCTGCCGGGCACTGACATCAGTGTAAGTGCTCCCCGGCCTTCTACGCCGAGTCCATACCATCCATTATAGCACCATTACCCTTTGTTCCGAAGGGGTTTCTTCATAATTTTTTTAGCTTACCTAGGAAGACCTTAAAAAGGAAGTTTAATTCTTTGAAGACCAAAGCTCGCCAATTTTTTCCATGAGACCAGTTCACAGCCAGCTCTGCGCTGCCAGTGGGGTAGCCCAAATTCCAAAATCTATCATCTGGAAACATACAAAGCTCTCGCACAGATCCCCCACCCCCCTTTCAAAAGGGGAAAAAAAAAACCCACAATCTAAATTGTAAATCTATTATGTCTATCTAGATCTAATAAGATGTGAGGAGATAAAAAAAAGAAACCCAGGTATGATAAAGATATTTTTGTAAATAAAGATGAAAACATATATCCATTTTAAATTTAAGGAATATTCAGCCATTAATGGATATCAAAGGAAAAGGGAATTTTAATCATCTCTCCATTCAGTCTCAGTTGGGTAAATCATATCTAAGAGATTTGCATAAATATAAACCATCAAAGACTTTTCATCTTCAAAGGGGGTTTCAAGACCCTATAAGCTTTGTACTGTAATCATCACAGGTCACCACCCTGCAGGAATAAGGCTGCTATGGCAACATAAAAAAACTAATGCTTAAGGCTTAGCATAATATTCTGACTAATAGAAAGGAAACTCATTTTAAAAGCTGGCAGCCTATTTACCAGAAGCGGGATTAGAGGTGTTATTTCCCCTTTTAGCTGCCCCCTCCTCGCCTGTGCACACCCCCCCCCCCTAAAAAAATCTAATCACTGGGATCTTTAAAAAGCTTTTGAGCAATTTGCAGTAACTTTACAATTAGGCTAAAATAAATCACAGCTTTCAGTAATGAAGAATGATTCCCGTCGCTCCCTGCCCTCCCTTCCTCAGACAGCATCAGCATCACCTCCTAGGAACTTTGCAGGGAAGGAATGACCGAATCGGCCGGGACCAGAAGGCAGTACGCGCTCTGCAAGGGGACAAAATGCATGGCACTCGGTGCAAAGGAAAATACAACGTGATTTATGTCACAATTAAGCTAGAAAATGGGTAGTGAAATGTTAGTGGTCTGGACGTTCAGTAGGTAGCCGGAGATTTTCTTTTCTCCTTCCAAAAAGAAAACTTGAACTCCTATTTGCCCAGTGCTTTGTGATAACCGTTAGAACTACAAAAACCTTAATGTTTACAACTAGGTAAACCCTTTACAAGAGAGTCCCTGTTCTTAGTGAGCAAAATCTGCCGTGCTTTTTTGTTTTTAAGCCAATAGGGGCATTTAAAAATTAAATATGCTAGCCCCGCCTCCCCCCTCCCCCTCCCTCTTCTTCTTAAAAAATTGCATTAAGTACTAACACAAAAGGTAACTAGTGGAGAAGTTTCAATTAATTTTTTCAAAAGGAGACGATTAAATGTTTCCGGCCTGGTAAAGTGTTCATTTCAGTGAGGTGGAGGGGACCGGGGAGGGGGGTAGGAAAAGAAGGGGGGAAAAATTACAAAGAGATTGGGGAGGAGATGAAGTAGCAGGGCTCAGCAATTCTTTCAATTCCAGTGCACACCCAATAGTGTGTTGGAAGAATGCACACTGTTCGGGATTTGTGGGAGAATTGTCCCACGACAAAAGAGGCAGAGTTACGCTTGTTATAGTCCAATAAGCCGTGCCAGTCAAACAAGAACCCACACTAGCGACAAAAGGCGAGCAAGAGATTCTCACACAAAAGAAAACAAGTAAGCCCATCTTTCAGTTGTGCATCAGGCTCTGGGCTTTACGCTTCGCATAAATACAAACGGAGAGGAAAAAATAAACAGCCCCAAAGACTTCTGTTAACTAGAAGTTCTATTTAACTGCAGCATGTTCCCCACAACCCAGCATCTGAATCAGCAAACAGGCCGCAGCTAGGGGCTGGGGTGGAGCCCCCTCTCAAAATAAAGGTAAGGCCCGTGATAAATAGGCATCAAGGATGAAACCAAAGGCTAAGAGTGACTTCAGAGTCCATCTGCATCAACCTAAGTCATATCTGAATGGGGCCAGAGCCCTCAGGATACCAACACTCTGGAATCTGAGGGCACCGCTTCTGAGGATACCCTTGGAGAGAACTCCAAGTTCAATAAGTAAATCCGGGTCCTTGACAACGGGGCTTCAAGAAGAATCCAACAGAACCATCCCACAGAATTAGGACAGAAACTACAAGTACAGTTTTAAACTCTAGTTGGCATATTCAAAGAGTAAAATGAAACAGGTGAAGTTGATTTTCATAATACCTTACATTGTACCCACTAGATTCCAATGTTAATTCAATGTGCAATCGTTATGAAAATTATTGAGGTATTTTACATTCTCTCCCCCTCTTGGGGGGGTTCAGGTCTTCAAAATTAAGTGTGTATTTTATACTTACAGCATATCTCAATTTGCACTGGCTATATTTCAAGTGCTCAATAGACACACGTGGCAGGTGGCCCCTGCATTGGACCATACAGACTCAACATTCAGATTATTAAAAAGGTAAGCACTTCATCAGGTATCAGAGCTCCTCATTGGATCACTATGCTTACATCCATAACCGTCCAGACAACACTAGATGTGGCTTTGAACCCCCTCAGCTCACTTGCCCACCAAACAAACATCCAGCACATCTGGCAGGCTCTGCCCCAGATTGGCACATTGGAATGGCATTCATTCATCAGAGACCTGCACAATACTGGCAACCCCAGAAAAAAAATCTAACCCTGTCCCCCGTCTGTCTCACAATTAAAACAATCATAGTATAATTGGGCCCATTCTGAAGTTTTCTTAAGTAATTTGACATGCCAACCACTTTACATTTCAGGTTTTTATTGGCTGAAAAGTCTGTCATGAAACACAAACACACCTGTCAGCAATTTAAAAAGGACGCACTAGAGAACTGTTCAGGAAATAATATCTGTGCTAATTAAAACCACTAGTTAAAAGCTTCCTGTTTATTCCTCTAGTTGCCCTAAGGAGTGACCTTTTCTTCCCCTATGTTGGGTTCATTTTTTCATATGCGGCTGCTGTCCTCTGGAGGCCTGTGATGATTTCAAACGAAACTTGGTAAGAGCCATTTATGTCATGACCCTTCCTGGTTGAAGCCTAGGCTCTGGGCCTACACAGTGGTGGCAGGAGTGGTGCTCTGACAACCTGGCATCCAAGGATAGCTCTGGGAGGGCTAGCAAGGAGCCAGTTCTGTCCAAACCACAGATCCGATTAGGAAACCCAAGCATTGTGTCTAAAGGACAGTTGTTCCAAAGAACACTCTGGGCAAAGGCGGGCGCTCAGGTGAAGGAGATGGCTGCTTGTGTTCACTCCTCCTTCTCAGTTCCTTCCTCTCTGATCCGTGCAGCCTTCTCAAAACCAGTGGCACCCAAACCCCTTCTCTTAGATGGTCCTAAGTTTTAAGCAAAGCACTGGCTACTCACCCACTGGATTTCCTCAGGACTCTCCACTTTTGGTAGCATCAGGCTGGAAGGAAGGACCCGGGATTGCAGAAGGGTCTCAAGGTCCTCCTCCGCCAGACCGCTAGACACTGAGTTGATTCTCACGCATTTTTCTGTTGGGCCCAGATCAAAGCCTTCAAGAGTTTCTACTATTCTCAGTCGAGCTTCATTCTGTGTCAATAAAAAGTTACCTTTTTAGTTTAATTTCTAAGGGGAACACAACTGAGTGTGGTGTGACACTGATGCGTGGATTCAGTGTGAGCACCTTTCTCAGGTCTACACATTGCCCGCCCACCAAAGAAATAAGTGAAATAAGTTATCCAATGTGATTGTTGAGCTGTTGGTAGACTTCGTTCACAGGATGTCACTCATCCGGTACTTGCCATCACGCATACTAGTGTATTCTAAATGTCAGCTTCATCTTGCTCATTGGTGCTGCTTTCTAGTTGGAAAGGTACAAAAAACTAATAAGCAGTTATTCATTGATGGAGCATTAACTAGGCCTACGCATGGTTCTAAGTCCTTGCATTTTCTCATTTAATAAATATAAGAAACTGGGCAACATCTGGATTGTGGCAGTCTCATCTGTCAGCCTATTCACATTAGGGAAAAAATGGTTTATTTTTCTTTATCCCCATATAGTGTGCTTTTTTTACTTCTCTTTCTTGTTTTATTTTTTGCAACTGAGTTGCATCTTGACATTCAATTAGGCAGGTGCTCACAGGAATCTGACACTTCATACTACAAGAAATGCTCACACTTATTTAGGTGGAAGCAAAAACATCACCAAGAAATTCCTTCATGAAGTGCTTGACAAATACAGTTTGTTTTATTCCCCCTGAATTTGACAATCTTTGCTCCACAGTTAAGAAAAACTGAAAGGGTAAAATTCTGCTTCAATATTTGAATTAACCCAAGAAAAATGGTATGAGACCAATTATGTTATTTATTGGCTTTGGCTTGGGGGCGCTGGGGGTGGGGTGTGGAGAGAGAAGGGTGTGGGGTTGGTGTCAACAGAAAGAAAACACTTGGGGTCATTACTTCCTGCCAATTTCAGTTTTCAAAAACAAATTCTTCCAACTTGCCAACAGCCCTCAACAAATTCTCCTTGTCAGAATGAACACTTACCAAAAGTAGTTTCACTTGGGAAGGGTTTTTATGATACTAATAAAACTTGAAAGCCTCTCACTGCTGATGAATATGGTTTAGGGAAAAAAAAAGTCTTAACAATATATAGCCATTTGAATAGCAGTACTTATCTAGGAAAATAGCAAAACGGAGACAAGAAAGAATTATTTAAGCCAATGCGGAGTCTAAGTCCAATCAATGAGACAAGCTGGACACAGATTTAAACCAGACGGATGTGGGTCTACAACAGAGTGGAGCAAGGAAGGCTCCAAATGTGGTCTGAGTTAAACAGCACGAGGAAACGGTAGCTTAGCGTTGTCAGGTCAGATGGAAACAGTGCTGAGGACCAGTTGAGGACAGCCATGTGAAGTCCTGATTTACAGAGCTTGGACTGCCAAGAATTAGGCCAAGTTTAGACAAAAGCAAGAGAGCTCATGTCAGCTAAAGTTAGAGAGATGGTAGTCAATGATGGTTCAGTTCCAAATCAAATACCTTTGGCTACTCCACAACAGTAAAACTCCAGCTCCACCATGAACTAGATATGGAAACACTGGGGGCTAAGTGCAAGAGTTAGCTTGGTATCATGGTTCCAAGGCCGCCTAGAGCTGCAGGAGAAATGCTTCCTCCTCTACAGCAGTGCAGGCTTTTAGATCCATAGCCTCAGAGAACCCAGACCACCATGCTCCATGTAGCCCGGACAGCTACAGACCCTGGATTGCTCCAGTTGGTAAATATTTTCCAGCTTCTAGATTCTCTTTCAGTAGCAAGTCAGCCTCCTTGCAAAGGGTCCTTTGGGACAGTGAATGGAAAATTGAAGGGAACTCACTAGGTTGTTTAGGCTGAAATGTATTTGAAAATCATTGTGTCCTCATATCCATCCTGTAATCTGCATGTGTGCTCAACTTTGCAGGATCCCTGGCAACATCAACTTCCTGAATTGTTAATGTTGGCGACAAACTGAATCTGACCTCGAGGAGCTGTTGGGTGGTTTCATTTGGATTTGAAGGGGACTGTTTGTTCAAAGCTTGTGTTCTAAACCTGTTTGTGATTTTTATCTAAAGTCAGATTGCCATGGTTTCAGCACATTCCGGTTTACTTAGTAAAATTCAGCCTCTGTGAAATTGGCTCCAAATGAAGTCCCTAATTCCAACTTTAGGCATAATCTGATTAGTACTTTTCATGTTATAATAATGAGCAGTGAATACTCAGCATTTTATTGGTTTCTTTTATTTATTTATTTATTTATTTATTTTTGGCTCAGAACTAAAAACCAAGCTCTTTCCACTTCATCACGCTGTACCTTTCCAAAAAGAGATGATGGCTTTTGAGGTATATTGCCATACAACACCCTTATTAACAGGCTGTTGCTTGTTGCAATTTACATAAACTAAGTATGCATCCCTCTGGTATGTATCCCAAAATACCCAACAACTTCATTGAATTTACACCAACCAACAAGCATGTTGATTTTTTTTTTCTTTTTGGTATTTTAATGGTGAAATATGTTACTGCTAGCAAAACACACACATGCCATCTGTTGGGCTGAAAGGAAGGCAGTTTCTAAGAACAATCAAGTTTAATGCTGGGTGTTTAGTTAGAGGGAGTTACAGTCCGCCCAGTTGTGAAAAACAAGAAATTCTGCTCTTCTGCCCTTTCCCTCTCCCTCTACACACACACCTTGCTTCTTGCCACAGTCTCTCTCATCTCCATCCCTCTGTCCCCTTCACACTTTCCTCCTGCCCTGTTCACCCCTCCATCTCCATCTGCGCAGGTGGATGAGTGCCCTCAGGGTGGCCTGGTGGATTGGGGGTGGGAAGTGCTTCCTGGGGACAGAAGAAAAAGGACATTTAAATAAAGAGGCCACTTGAGAAAGAACTTTGGTGGGGAACTTAGATCCTGGAAGCAACTCAGGTTGTACACAATGAGGTTTAAAATGCATTGCACTCAGGTGTCACACTGGGACACCCTGGTGGAGTGTTCTCACTGTGGAATGAACTGTGTCCCTAAGATCTGACAAGCCGGAAAAGACCAAATAAGGCCTTTACCAATGGTTACATCAGATCTTCGAAGGGACTAATCGCCATGGTGTGTTCTGAAGCATGTTTGATCCCACACTTGCAGAGGTTGCAGAGAAAGTTGGTACAGATCGGATTCTCTGCAGGACCCTGTTCTAAAAAGTGGTGTTCCCCAAGTTCCCGCAGTCAATCGATATTCCGTGCCATGGGTTGCTCAGTGCAGTGGACCAGGGGCTAATAAACTTGTCCTTATCCATAAGCCATCGTATTATGTGACTGTGTCTGGGCCAGGAACCAAGGCGTGCTATGATTTCAGAGACTGGATTCTTATCACCTGGGGAGGAGACACGCTCTGGTGACGTCAGAAAGAGATAAATCAACCCTCCCGGAGATCTACAGGCTCCAAAATTAAAGGAGAAAATATGCGTGCAGTTGGTTCCATTGGCACCCATTAAAGCTAATAACTAATCTTCCTCGCAAGTTTCCAGCTCAGAATGACCAAATCTGCAAAGAAAACAACATCCGTCCACTTTTACACTCCAGTGGAAGAGGTGGTCCCTCGCGGCAGGGCGGCACAGTCTCGCCATCTGGAGAATAAATCGAGTGTGAAGTACAGTATAGTTTGGGACCAAGCTCCGTGGCGGCAGCTCAGCAGTCAGTTCATTAGTTCCGAACTTGCAGGGATTAGAGCGGCATCACTTCTACTGTCGGATAGGATGAGACAGACAGGATACGAGACTCAAGGAGGATCGAGACTCCCGAGGAGCCCCTTGGGCTTATTTATAAAACTACAAAGTACAAACACACCCAAATAAGTGCCTTAAATAATAGCATTATCACAGTTTCATAACATCTGAATTAACACCTTTTCCTTCAACTTCCACTCTCCTCCCCAAACCTTGAATGTTAATGTACAGCCCTTTCCAGAGGAAATCACAAAGACAACCCCGACCCTGCATGCAACAGGAGCAGCCAGAAAGCTGGGGCCGGAGACTTGGTAATTAAGAAATAGGGAGTATTTCCAATCCAGGAAGATGCACAGCCATTGTTAAACACACACACACACACACACACACACACACACGATTATTATTTTCATTCAGCAAAATCATCACATCATGTATTCAGAAACACTAGCAAATTCTCTCTTTTCTGGATTTGCCCATCTTATCTCATTTCCATTGGTAAAATGGTGACACCAGCATGGAGTGACCCAAATTCTAAGTAGAAGGCCCCGATATCAGGATCTTTAAGAAAATTTTGTTGAAAATGTCAAGGTCAAGTTTGTTTTAAAACAAAAAAATGGAGTGAATTATTCCATTGAGGGGTCTCTCTTTTTTAATTGTATACATTTATATTAAAAAAACAGAAGTGCCTGTGACCTAAAACAGGTCATCACTAGTAAGTTATATTGGATTCTTCTTTCTAACATCAAAATTAATGACAACAATGATCACAGGGACTGTAGTAGGTAGTAGCGACTGCATAGGAAGAGAAGGGAAATGAATTCTCACAGGTTCTTGCAGCCTGGTGGGGTGTCTCCTTACGTGAGGTGGTGTGTTGACTGTCTATCCCACTGTTTTTTTTTTTCCTACACAAAAGAAATCTTGGATTGCCTATTTCCCAAAAAAGATATCTACAATATTGAAGATACCATGTGTTAAGTGGTTTAAAGTGTCATGCATTGATTCCCACCAACTACTACATGTCAGACATGGTTTACTCTGAAAATGTGGATTTTGGTAGAGCAAAGTTTTTGATGTGTTAATCATGAAAAATACATTAAAACACAGGTTTATTGTAAAAATACAAACTTGGCTTTCATTTGAAGGAATGAGAAGGCTCATCAGGATGTGTCTGGATGGGAAGCTTATAGTATGTAATTGGAATTTCTGGCTCTCAGAGATTTAACTAAAAAAGAGGAAATCCTACACAACACAACTCTAAGATACAAAAATCTATAAAAATAATATATTTTTATGGCCTCTGAATGCTTAAAAATATTTTGAAAAGACATTGGAACAATAG